CTCTGAGCTCCCCACGGACACCCGCGGGATGCTCGAACGGAGCCCGGGGCTCGCGTTCTCCCTGCAGCCTCTGGGATCCCCCCGGGATGCTGGCGATGCTCCGCGGGGAGCCAGGGAATGTTCTGGCAGCTCCAGGGCACAGGGAGGATGCGGAGTGCAGGGTCGGGCTGGGATGGGCTGAGGCAGCAGGCGCCTTCCCCACGGATGCCTTTTGGGGTTTTTTTAGGCAGGGTGTTGCTCCCCCCGGCTGGGACAAACCCCCCCAAAATCCTGCAGGTGCCCCCAAATCCTGGGAGGGAGGAGTGGCTCAGCATCGCTCCAAATGACAATCTCCAAATTACCTGGAGCTCCGGGTAGATCAGAATTTGAATAGAAATTTACTAAATCCCAAACATTTTAAAAGGCAAAACACAATATTTGGACCATTAAAAAAAGCAAACCAAACAAACTAAAAAAAAAACCCCGAGCAGACAGAACGACAAACAGAAAGGAAAATTGTTGCAGTGACACAGCATTATAAACGGCTCATTTCTGATCCAAAATAAATAAATCACAGAACCATAGAATGGTTTGGGGAAACCACAGCTTCTCTGGGCAATTAATTATGATTAGGGGTGCCCCTGGATCCCTGGCAGTGCCCAAGGCCGGGTTGGACAGGGCTTGGAGCAGCCTGGGACAGTGGGAGGTGTCCCTGGCCAGGGCAGGGGTGGCACTGGATGGGCTTTAAGGTCCCTTCCAACTCCAACCATTCTGTGCTGATTCTATGAATTATGGCTGAAATAACACCACAGGGATTATCCTGAAGGGCCTGACACCTAAAACTCATCACCAGCATGCTCTGAGCTGCTCTCTCAGCCAAACCAAAGGTGCCAAACACAAATTCCTGCAGGCTCCAATCTCCCTGGCTGGGGGTGCAGGTGTCAGGCTGAGACACGGCCCCGGGGCCACACGTCCCCACAGCCCCTTCCCTTGCCAGCACCTGCAGCCTCTTGCCTCCTTCAGGCCATTTAGCAAAGGTGAAACCCCTGACAGGGCAGCAGCAGGTCCCTGTCCTGTCCCCCCTGGCAGCCCCAGGTCCCTGTCCTGTCCTGTCCCCAGCCCCAGGTCCCTGTCCTGTCCCCCCTGACAGCCCCAGGTCCCTGTCCTGTCCCCCCTGACAGCCCCAGGTCCCTGTCCTGTCCTGTCCCCAGCCTCAGGTCCCTGTCCCCTCTGTCCCGGGGTCCCGGTGCTGCAGGGCTCTGCCTCAGCTGGTTGGGAATAAGGGCAAGGAGCCAGAGCCAGCTGCATGAGGAGCTGCCTCAGCTGGGAGGAAGATCAAGGTCTCAGCAGTGGGAGGAAGGCCAAAGTCATTTAGGGAGCTCGGGAGGAAAAGTTCATCCCCTGGGCTGAGGTGGAGCTGGGAAGGAAAGTTTATCCAAAGGGCTGCAGGGCTGTGGGTCTGGCTGGAGAGAATCGTGTGCAGCACAGATCCCAAGTGAGTGTTCCTGCAGATCCCGGGCCCGCAGGAAGCTGGGCTGAGCCGTGTGCAGGGAGAACAATTGGATATTGTGCTGCCTTATCACCACTGAGCCCTGTCCTGCCTGAGGAACCCATTAAACTTTAGACCCCTCTTTGGGCAGGCTTTCCCGTATGTCTCGTGTGCCTCTTCAGCCTCCCACCCCTTTTCACCTTCCACTTTTATTTTGTCTCTCCTTTTCCTTTGGCCTCCCACTTTATTTTGGCCTCCTGCCCTTTTCAGCCTCTGCATTTCTTTCCCCCGTCACCCTTTCTTAGTCCTCTACCCTTTTGCAGCTTCTATTTTTTCCATCTTTGTTTTTATTTCTGATCAACCTTTTTTTTCACTTGCACTCCTCAGCCTTCACTTTTCTCCCCCCCAGCCTTGTGACTCCAATTCTTTTCCAGGCTCCTTTTCACCTTTAGCCCCCATTTCTCTTTCAGCCTTCCTTTCTTATTCCATCCCTATTTTTATTTTATTTTTTGCCCCTTCTTTATTTCCCTCTAAACACATTAGCACTTGCACTGGATCTTACAACCCATTTTAGTAAATATTCCCTGAAAAAAACAAAGTCTATTCCAGGGAGGTAAAAGCTGTCCTGACCTGCCAGGCTGCCCCTGGGTACCAGCACTTCTCCCTCCTGGGCACAGCGGGCACTGACTCATGGCTGGGGCATTTTTAGGAATCCTGTGAACATTGTCTGGCACTGCAGAGCTGTCAGGGATTATCGTGGGGCTGGCTCTGGCTGGCTCTGTCTTTCAAACAGAAACCTCACAATAAAAATCTCTTTGCAGAAGGATTTGTTGAAAACCTGTTCAGCGAGAGACACAATGGCTCTGTCATGGTCTCTGCTGTGGATGCAGGAATCCTCCCTCTGCCCCCCTGTCTGAAAGCTGCCTGACTCAGTGTTCAGCTCTTATTTCTTCTTCCCTTGTTCCCAACATCAGAATCTGCTGGATTAAAGCTGTTGGGGAAGCAGAGCTGAGGCCAGGGCCATGCAGAGCAGCAGCAATCAGTGATTTGTAGGTTTTATATTCCCCCAAATGTGTCGGTGTTTAATGGGGCAGGTGGCACTGCCACCGAGGGATGGGGACCCGTGCCTCATGCTGGGAGTGAGGCAGCTCTGGGGGGCACAGACACTCTGCACCTGGCACCTGCAGTGCCAAAACTGCCACAGCTCCTGCTTCCCTGAAACTGAATAACAAAAGTGCTTCGATCCCATCTGCTGAAGGTGGCAGAGAAAGGCTGAGACAGACTCACCGTGCCCAGAATATAATATATAAAATATATAATATAAAATATAAAAGATAAAAGATAAAAGATAAAAGATAAAAGATAAAAGATAAAAGATAAAAGATAAAATATAATATAGAATATAGAATATAGAATATAGAATATAGAATATAGAATATAGAATATATAACATATAATATATAATATATAATATATAATATATAATATATAATATATAATATATAATATATAATATATAATATATAATATATAATAGTATATAGTATATAGTATATAGTATATATAATTAATATATACTATTTAATATTTAATACTCAATGTAGAATATAGAATAGATAATAGATAATAGATAATAGATAATAGATAATAGATAATACATAATACATAATACATAATAAATAAATAATAAATAATAAATAATAAATAATAAATAATAAATAATAAATAATAAATAATAAATAGATTATATATATTATAAATATATAGTATTTAGGAATTCCCTTAAAGATCAGCTAATTCACAGCCAGTGCTGAATAAAGTTTTATTAAG